GAGGACTAGGACTTTTACAGGTCCAGGATATTTCGCTATTCCACAAAAGATGGACTCTTTTGTGTTTGAAATGTATTCAAAAGCACACGCCCTGAACCACCAGTAAAGATCTTCCACAAGAACAGAATTGTTTTAATTGTTGGTTTTTATTGATTATGATTTTCCCAAACTGTAAAAATGCACTTTTCTATTTATTTATTTTTTAAAGCTTGTCTTATTTGTATTGAAGGAATATTTGGAAGCGTTGACCCAGCAGGCATCTGTGCCAGGTTTCTGACAGGTATTTGGCAAAAAAGATGTTCATCAAGCAAAAGAATGTTGCTCAAATGTGCCACAGTGCAATACAATGTCATACAACCAGATGTTGTATTGGCCAGGCAAACATTAGAGGAAAATCACTAGTATTTGTTGCAAAAAAAGCTAAAAAACAACTGCTGAAATTATAACTTACAAAGTTGTAAAATCCCGTCTTGCACTATTATCAATTATCTATTGAATCGGCATCAGAAAAGCCCTCAAACTTGTCGAACTATTACTGAATTGGGCCTTCCTGGATTGGACTTGATCCTCTTAATTCACCAGTACCTGAAGCAACACGTCCCACCAACACAGACCCCTGCATTGTTTAAAAGAAACACAGTGCTCACTCTGAACATACCCTGTGTGTCCTTTTATCATGTTGCTCTCACGGCCATTTCTATTTACACAAACCCTATAATCTAGCTGAAACTTGAACAGATCTGGCTTTTGGGTGGGGTGGGTACAGTATGCCCAGAAAGATGTAAGGGGAGCATGCCTATTGCAAAGACAGAAAGCATGAAATAAAGAGAGAAAGTGTTATGCATGATTTAGTAAGAGATAAGAAGAAGGAGAAATGAAGATGTGCTAAGAAGCAGGAAGGAAGTAAAGAGTGAGAAACCGAGGTGGTGAAATATACAATGACAGAAAAAAAGATAGAAGTGAGAGTTGTGTACTAACAAAAGCAGAGTGCATGTAAGAAGGAGAGGAATGTTGCATCTGTCAACATTGAACTTGCAGCTTGACAAACTTGAACACATATATAACCAGCTTTCTAGTTCATTTGAAAGATTTTAGGGACAAAATACAAAAGGAATCCTCAGATTTAACTCCACTTTTCCACAAAAGACCCACTCATTCAGGCTCTCAGCCCTAAAGATTTAACTTTAATTTGTTTTAATGCTATTTTGCAAGCTATCATAGAGCGCTCTGATGTCCATCCAACTGCTCTATTCAAAATGAGCAATTCTTAGATTTCACTGTAATTGAACTTGTGAGAAATGATATAAACCAGTTCTGCTAATCATAGGTTTCACCCCCTCGGCTATTATCTTCCCACCCACAGTGGAGACATAACACAGTTCAGCACTACTGTAAATCAGCTAAACAACTCAAATCTTTCCATATGGAGACAGTGACATGAACAAAGTAACCACAAAGGATTGTGTGCAGACCATTTAGATGAAATACTAAGCTAGTGAAAACTTGTTTAGGGAGAATATGATACATTTGTTTTAATACCTGGTTATAACTCGCAGGGTGGAAAGAAAATGTGGGCGGTTTATTCTTGCTTTGCCCTCTCATTTTGCCCTGCTAAAGATGTGAACAAATAGTCGCTCTGCTCAGTTAAAGAACACAATAAGCATATAGCAGGGACAAAGTGGAGACCCTAGGGCAGTTTAGAACAAAGCCAATCTGTTACTGCCACCCCTCTCTGTTTGGTTTCCTCCGCTGGGAGCAAAAGATTGGAAAGGTTTGATCCATAGCTGCTGATCTGATTAACAAAGACATCTATAAAGAGCTGCTTGGTGGTTTGGCTGTGTACTTTAACAATGGTAAATAACAATTGCTGAAAGAGAAAACTACTTTAATTGTATTCTGGCATTCACATAATCATTGGTGGAGAAAAGAAATGCAAGTAGAGTAGAGTTTCAAATGACTAGATGTAGAGTCACAACAATACAGATAATCTGTGTCAGTTTAGAGAGGCAAAACATGTTGGAGGTCATTTCGAAGTTGTTTTACCTTGTCTTTACACTGTTATAATATCTGCACTTTATATATACTCTAAACATATTTGTGTGTGTAGGGGTGGAGATGTCTTAGCCCTGGCAGAATATGCTCAGGCGGTCTCCAATAACACCCTTTGGCAGGTCGTGGTGTGATTAATCATTTCACCTGACCCCACAGGGCAAATACAAGGATTTATTAGACTGCTAATAGTTTATTTAAGCATATTATTCTGAATGATTTAACCATTTAAATTCACTGGTCAGATACAATAATGTATCAGGCAGCCCTAACATTGGCTTCCTTATTAAAACATTCTCTCTAGTGAGTTTTATTTGTTAAAGCATCTGTTTCCATTCAGCTTGTTGCATTGTAATTGTGCATACGCAGTTAAACCACACTCGCAGTGTGCCAAATTTCACAGAGGACACAGACTATTTAAGAAAAACCTGTTCAAGAAAGCCTGAATGTTTGTCAATAGACCAGGTAACGAAACATTATTTTTGTGATGTAATTTTTGAATGGATAAACGTTCCTCCCATATAAACTGCACTAATAGCAAAGTTATGGGTCAAACACCAATAGTAGTTTTGATTTGAAAAGTGGGCTTGACTTAGGTCTACTAAAACACTCAAGACAGGAAAGGCAACGCATTTAGACACATTTTTCAAAAACTACATTCCAACGTCCTTGTGTGGACACATTGAGTGGCCATAGATTTCAGAAACACTGAGTCAAAGCTCATTTTAGTCCTGCTAACATTACTTCTGGTAAACTATGTGACATCTGAGCGGCCATGTTGCAGAAAAGTTTAACTCTCTGTTCACCTTGTTCCCCCGAATGAATGTGTTCCTCTAACCTACCACAAGAATATATACATTTCAAGTCAGCTTTACGTAAACTACAACATAAAAACACTTTTGTGGCTGTGTTTAATGCCTTAACGGGCTGTAAAGGAGTCTACTCACTGGGACTATTTTCGGCAGGTATTCGTGTCCAAATATCAACACTGAAACGTGTGGTTCTAACTTAAACGCAGTTTCTTCTCAGTTGAAAGAAATATCCGCTTCCTCTTTTCGCCGTGTTGAAATAATAATATCCCGTTATTTATTTCCTTAAAGAGCCATGTTTCACACCCTCCTCTGCTTCAGCTGCTGTACCGGTGGCTGCTGCCGTGATGCAGTGTACTATTTTTGAAAGAAAAGTCACTCCTCTCTTCGGTCCGTCCTGCCCCCTCCCCACCCCGGTGACAGTGAGCGGTGTGTGCCGCTGACACACAACCGGCTAATTACGGATTCTACATTAAATAATACACTTTTAATGTAGTTTCACTGCCACTCACTTATTTTTCATGGCGAAAAGATGGCGTATAAATCGTTCACATTATCCGTTGCTTTAACCGGTACAATTTACAACGGTTCACGTTCTCTCTTGAACGTCATTCCAACCGTTACTTTTTTTGCTATGCTAATTAAACACTTGCTAGCATGCTAACTGGAAGTTGGAGCTATTAGAGCTAATCAAGCACAATTGTGGATATTTTACATTAAGTTCAGTGGTGGAAAGTAACTAAGAAGTCTAAATACTCTCAAATATTGTAGCCTGACGTTTTTACATATATAATCACACTTAAAATAGTAGTGAAAAGTACATCCGAAAGTTACATTTAGAATGGAAGCCATAAACAGCATGGCCAAAGTGTTTCTGTAAGAAAAAGATCATTTAATTAGTGTTCTTAAGAGCATGAGTTATATATCACATTTCATAACAAATGTTGTTTCCCAAAATAACAGGGTTCAAACATTTTAGCATCTTCCTTTCATGAAAAGTTAGGCTACTTTTATTTGTTTTCTTGAGATCATGAGTTTTCTATTTAATTATCTCAAAATTACAAATGCACTTTTCCCCGACATAACAGCATGATTTACTCAAGATGTGGATATAATTACATAATTGATTTGAGATCACAAGAAAACATTGTTTCATAAGTAAAACCTCAATTGTCCCAGTCCCATATTTTGTTATAGACTATAAACTATAAACTAGAGGTTTCATCTCCTATAGTCATTTTTTACTATACTGCTTTAATTAATGGGCTACCTTAAGATCAAAGTTATAAAATATAATTTACAAATACATTCTGATTTATTATCATGGATAGGATAGGACATAGCCTATGCATCCCTTGGTGAAATTCACAAGCCAGCAGCATGGACAAATCAAATCCTAGACAACATTGAAGAAATGTACGCATTAATACATAATTAACTCAACAATAATATGCTCTATTCTATAAGTGACTAGATTTGACAATAATGCCACTCAACCTCTCTCTCTTCCTCTTTTTATTGTATTGGACAAACCTTCATTCCCCAGACGTTGTGAAATTCACCAGCCCAGTGTGATTCAACAACACACACAGTGGACTCTACAGGGTTTTCGTATTGAAAAGAAAAACATTGACCATTTTCTATAGGCCAAGTAATTTATACAATCATTTACTGGACAGTTTCCCAAACAGACAAGTGCAAAGCCTTGAGCATATAATCATAGTTTAGCATTATATGAAACGTATCTACTGGATATCAGGCAATATAGATGATGTAGATAAATTAACACATTTGCCAAATTATTACTCTGATACATTAGAGATGTTTAAATTCTCCTCTAAAATCCATATTAATGACATTTAAAACATATCTAACCGAAAATGTTGGAGACAGGAATCAAGATTTTTGGAAAACAGTCAATGTACCATCTTAACCTCAATAACATCAACAAAACACAGAGTGCATGGCAACACAATACTTTAACACGCAACTGGACTTTCCTTCCTTGTGTAAATCTGACCAAAAGAAAGGGAACTCCCAACCTGCGTCAGGTTTTCATAGGATCAATGCAATGCAAGACAGAAGTTACGCAAACATTAGGAGATAAAAGCGCTGCCAACAGAATTCTCTGCAGAATGGAGCTCTGATTTTTACATTGCAGCACTGGGGCATTATTTGATCTATTAACTCTACTTTTTCAAACAGTCTGAGGATGTGGACACTGGGTCTTCAGGTGGTCGTCATCTGTGTTTTCCTTCAGGTATGTAAACATGTAACATACAACATACCATTCAAATTACACTTTTTTTATACTGAACATGTAGAAAACATCTACATTTTAAGACAACAAGTGTTTGTGTAGCCCTTCGTGATGTCACTAAATATGTTAAACTATTAACTCTTTCATTAGAAAAGGCAACACAACAGGACGTTATAATATGTTTTAAAAATGTATTGCTTTTGTGCATTATCTATTTGTATATATTTAACTGCTCCAAAAGTAAAATATGTATGTTGTCTATTACTAATACTCACTAAATTCTATGCATGTTTTAATTTTTTGGAACCTGTTCAAATTTGACTTCAAACACAAAATATTTCTAACCAACACAACACGAAATAAATCTTTGTTTACATTTAAACATTAATTAGTAACTGATCCATTAGGGTGTAGCTCAGGGGTAAATGGGCGTATATCAATCAGAGGGTCAGTGATTCGATCCCTCCTGCAGTCAATGTGTTGCTCCCGTAAGGCATGTCTAAAGCATCAACTAAATGACATCTAATTTAAATGTTTTAATGTCCCCTCAGGTGCCAGGCTGTTTTCCATCATGCCTCATTATTGGCTCTGTAGCTAACTGTGGCTCCAAGAACCTGCGCTGGGTCCCTCCTCTTCCTCCTCACATCACCCACCTGTTCCTGGAGATGAACCACATCTCTGAGATGAACTCCTCCTCCCTGTCGGGGCTGGAGCAGTTGCAGGAGCTGGACCTCGGACGGCAGTATGTGCCACTTGTGATCAGAAACAACTCCTTCAGCGGTCAAAGCCGACTGAGGAAGCTGGTGCTCGGGTTCAACATCGGCCTTCAGCTGGAACCTCAGGCTTTTATTGGACTGTCCGGTCTGCAGAATCTCCACCTGGATTACTGCTCACTTCAAGACACCATCCTGAAGGAGAACTTTCTGGAGCCACTGTCATCCTTACAGTCTCTTGACCTGTTTGGTAACCAGATAAAGACTCTCCAGCCTGCAATGTTCTTCGCAAACATGACTCATTTGAACGTTTTTAATCTAAAATTGAACAAAATTGACAGAATATGTGAGTCTGATCTGGTTGGTTTCCAGGGGAAGAACTTTGAGTTTCTCAACTTGGGCTCTGTTCACCTTAAGGCTATGTTAAATGAACGTTTTAACTGGCAGAAATGTGGGAATCCTTTCAGAGGAATGTCCTTTCAGACACTCGATCTGTCCAACAACGGGTTCAGTGTTGGTAAATCTAAGCATTTCTTCTCAGCCATTAAGGGAACTAAGATCTCCCACCTCATTATGTCAGGACACATGGGTAAAGGGTTTTCCTTCAATAACCTCCCTGATCCAGACCGGAGCACGTTTCAAGGACTAAATGAGAGCTCAATCCGCACTTTGGATCTGTCTAAAAACAGGATATTTGCATTGCAACAGGGGGTTTTTAGTCCACTGAAAGAAGTCACAATCATTGACGTTTCCCAAAACAGAGTGAATCAGATACACAGAAATGCCTTTGAAGGTCTTCAGGGAAATGTAAAAATGCTCAACCTGTCACACAACCTACTGGGGGAAATCCACTCTCACACTTTTGCTTCTCTGACAAACCTGGAAGTGTTAGACTTGTCTTACAACCACATTGGTGCTCTTGGTTATGGCGCATTTAGTGGCCTTCCCAAATTAAAAGCACTGTATCTAACAGGAAACTCATTGCGTGACCTCGGCTTCCCTGCGTCCCTCCCTAGTTTAGATTACCTCCTGTTGAAAGACAATAAACTGACGTCAATGAGCAGTATTGCACGATTATCCGGTAATGTCATGCATCTGAACATTCAGGACAACAGATTAACAAACCTTGGGGATGTTCACATGTTGTTTACTCAGTTAAAGCGCCTGAAGCATCTTCTCTACGGAGGAAACACAATCAGGAGGTGCATGCTCAGTGGACGAGCTTCAGCAATTGGTTTAAACGAAGTCCAAGTTCTGGATCTTTACAGCAGCTCCCTGCAGGCTGTCTGGTCTCAGGGGAGATGCTTGAACTTGTTTGACAATCTTGGACATATGATTGGTGTCGACTTGAGACTCAACGCGCTGAAGTCTCTTCCTCAAGGCATTTTTAAGGGCCTCACATCAGTAGTGGAGATAGATCTCTCCTCCAACAGCTTGACTTATCTCCACAATGATGTCTTACCCAAAAGTCTCAAAATACTCAACCTCTCCAACAACTTTGTAGCCTCCCCGGACTCCACTGCTTTCCGCTTTCTCAGCTTCCTCGACTTAAATATGAACAGATTTCACTGCGATTCAAACCTGAAGAGCTTCCTGAATTGGCTGAACAAGACCAACGTGACCTTCCTGAGTCCTGTTGAGGATCTCAGGTGTGAATATCCTTCTGGTTTCTATAAAGTTCCTCTGTTAGATTACTCCACTCAGGTCACACAGCAGTAAAAGCAACAGTGAACAAGTATGAACATCAAGTGCCATGTAATGTTCATTTGAGTTTATCACATGGTGTTTTCTCTTGAATGTAATTTTGAATGAAAAGTTTGTTAAATCCATTTTATTAATCACCTCCGTGTAGACCATATCATACATTTGTATATTAAAATGTCTAATTTTATATGATTTTGTAAAATGAAATCAATGTGTTGCTTAATCTACTGCAACAACGCATTTCTAACAGATGTACTTTATAAAAAACTTTTTATTTGATTAGGTACTTTTGAAGGTATCCTTACTTCCTTTTGCATTTGTAGTCACCAAATCACCGCTCAAGCATGTGACCATCAAAAATCAATACAAAGTAGTTCTTTTTTAAAATATTTTTACAGTATAAAAGTAATTTGTTACAACTAAAAGTAATGCATTTAAAGCTGTGTTAAAGTACCACCATTTTTACTTTGACTTAAAGTAGCCTAACTGTAAATGACGTAACGAAGTTGCCTTAATTAAAAGGAGTAACAAGGTTAATGTCATAGTTCAATTGGATAAATGAATACTTTATTTCATGTTATTTATAATCGTTAAATATGGCATGATTTAATACAGTTTGTTTTACATCTTGGGCCGATATGCGTATGTGTTTCTTGTGCCTAGGAACTAATGTTTGTTCATGTGCTGGTACTGCGTGTTTTGCTGTTAAACTGTACAACTCCATGTGGGTTGACGTCTTTTTGAAGCTCTGCTGAGGTCTGTGATAAAGTTTAGTGTGACGGGAGGTCTGTGACGAAGTTATGCAGAAAAGGAACTAAATTAATCTCCTTTCACGACAAGCGGCCAACGAGGTATTTGTTTTGTGTTTTCATTTTCTTGTTTTCATTCATATGTGTAGCACAATATGCTAATGTGTTTGGCTATGTATGCGTGTCATTTCGGTGTTGTAGTTCTCACGGCGTAACGGAAGAGGGAAGGCTACAGGATGAAAACTCCCAAGAAATAAACGCCCGTTTTAAAGAACCGACCTGTGTCTGTGTCGTGAAAAGAGCTACACTAACAAAAAAGAAGCCTAATAATCATGTAAAATAGCTGTTAAAAACACAAAACAAAAATAATGTAATATTAATGTGTTTATCAGTGTAATGTTGCAGCTTGTAAAGGTGAGGACATTTTTGTGCTGTGTGGCTTAATCAATAGTAATCGTCTGAATAATAATGATCATTATCATCATATAAAAGTGCATTCCCATCATTATACCAACAGAGGGAGCTGCAGAACAAGCCTCCAAGCTTTTCGGTTTACCCCCTTGCGACTGCTCCAACATTTAAACACAGTCACCAGCTTTCTGTTGAACCAGCAGCAGCAGACATTCATTCATCATTTACCATTTAGAGTCGGCATTATTTTGTACAGTGATAGTAGTTCATGTGATGCTGTAGCTGTGTGACCTGAATTAAATATGCTGTCTACCCTAATTCATGGCAGCCCACAATCTGTACAATAAGGAGGATTTTAACTATAACAGCACCCACTGTAAACAGAGGTTTAAGGAACAAAGTAAGATGAACACAGATGTGTTTATACATTTTCATACCAAACAACGATCATCATTAGTTCATTAGGGAATGGGTTTTCAGCCCACTGTAACTCAAGATACTGTATTTTTGTCATTAAATACTTCATGTACTGTGTTTTACTGCAGTAAATGTGCTCATATCGTGACATTAAGTGGTTTATTTGTTTGTCTGAGTTAGTTTACATGAGCAGGCTATTTGGATATCTTATTTTCAGTCCAATGGAATGTCAGTGAAAGCTTCGATAATACAATTATAACTGGCAACTATGGTCAATACTTCTTTCCCAGTAGATTTACTGTATTTTATTTTTATGGATGAAATTGGCTTTTAGCTGGTACAGCAGCTGCATCATAAGTTATGAAGATGTTTCCTCCTCTTACAGCAGAGGGCAGAACTCACACACATAGTAACCACAGACTGTTGGCCTCAATGCTGCATTCAAATAAACAACTATACATTTTTAAAACTATGCCAACCAGACTTTTCCCAGCTGGGTTAAGTGTGCCGTCTCACATAGATACATTATAGAAACATAGCCATTAATTCATAAAAAAGGGAGCAGAATAAGCATTAGATGATGGATGCATATTAAAAGTCTAACTGGTGCTAAGGAGAGTTATGTAATTAGGGAATTACCAAAAATAGTGTTTTGTTCAGTGTCAGTGAGATGTTCTTGATGAATAACAACACCAGTTTTCTTATGTTAATATCCAGGAGAGGGTTCTGTGTTCTAATTTGTTCTAATTGTACCTGTAAATAGAGAACAAGCTATATTTAATCTTTATCCTGGGATGTTAACTTGGAGTGTGGCTGAATTGAAAATGTGTCCCATTAAAGCTGCTCTCTGCTCATAAAATATTAAATATGGGGAGGGAGGGTGAAGAAGAGCGGAGAACACTAAGACTCTGATGGCATGAGTGCATTTATAGACCTGTGTGTGTGTGTGTGTGTGTGTGTGTGTGTGTGTGTGTGTGTCACCTGTGAGTCATCACCAGACCTGACTATGTGATATGTGACGCTCATAAATCCCTGTGTTCGTCTCGAAGACTGTCTGTGTGTTTCAGACTACTTTGAAACTAGTAAAACACCTGAAAACGGACTGACTGGAGGTATATTTTATATTGAATACTAGAGATTTTTCACCTCAACCCCTAAGTCCAAACTTGAACACTGTCAAATAATAGGCTGAATAGTTTCTCCCTCACACACCTGCCTGAAACGCCTCCATTGGACTCCTTTGTTTGCTTCTGTAACATAGTGACATCACTATATAACACTTGTGCTTCTATTGGCTAGCGCTCCAACACAGATAGACCGAGGGGAGGGTTGACCAATCACAACAGAGCCGGCCAGCTAACCAATCAGAGCAGACTGGGCTCTGGTTTCAGACAGAGGGTGAAAAGAGGTGCTGCAGCACAGGCATGAGAAGAATAAAGAGCTTTTTGAACATTAAAGCATGGAGACATGTCACAGTAGAGACACAAAGTACAAATATGAACCTGAAAATGTGCATAATATGTCTTCTTTAAATATTATTTCATAGGTGTATCTGGTCTGTGGTGTCGTTTTAAAGTGATTTTGGAAATGTAGCATGTTATTTAGATCACAGCAAGAACAGCTTCTGCTTCAATGAAACGAACGGAGCTTCAAAAACAACATAATAACATAAATGAACTGTTTAAACACGATTGATGGAACAGCAGGCGCCTGTGACAACATCTTTATTTGATTTTCTTTCTTTTTTCGTCACCATGTTATACATACATATAGATACAGCCCCCTCCCCCCATCCATCGCAACATTTTACACTGGCAGGTTACCATGGAAACAGGCTCCGTATCCACCTCCTCCACAGTCACTTCCTGATTGTATTCGGATCCCTGCGGACATCCTCCCCCATAGCGTCACACACACACACACACACACACACACACACACACACACACACACACACACACACACACACACACACACACACACACACACACACACACACAGGAAATGTACATGAATGATTTTACAGACTAATATGGCAAAATCTTTATAAATTAGCAAATATTTGAGGCAACACCAACACAGACTGGAAAATAGCTGTTTGTTTTCTTAATCATTCAACCGAATTACATTCATCCTTGTTTCACTGTCTTCCTCTATAATTTAGATCATATTTCATGGATATTTTGAGGCAGACTGTTGCATTATACACAGGGGAAATAAACACAGCAGATATATATTTAAAAGGAGCCATTTTCAGTAACAACAATGTATCACATGTTACATTGGATACCATCGTTTTAGTCCCTTTTCTGAAGAGAACCTAATGTAAACGTGGCCCTCATAATGCTTCCAAATCCAATTAATTCTACAATATATCTTCAATTTGTGTTGAATCTTTCACTTCATTACAGTTGCATGTATTATACATATTTCCATGGAGCCTCAGAGCATTTTCTTTTTTTTAACTAACAAACTGGGTCAAAGATGTGCCCAGTAACCAATGACTAAACACACAATCCTCAGTGTGCATCCATACATGTTTGAGACAGTGAGGGAAGCAGGTTAACACAGATTTAAAATCCACTGAAAACCAAATCTAACCCCTATACGCCCTAATTGTGTTTATATTTGGTCATTTTAACTGTGTATGATGAGAGAAAGTGTCAATAAACCCTCTTCAGAAACAATATTTTAAGCCAAAAGGTCAAAGAGGTTCTGGCTCTAGCTTCTCATATATGAAAATGTTCTATTTTATATCAAATTATTTGGGTTTTGAACCCCATGGTCAAACAAAATAAGTCACATTGTGCTCTGGGAACGTGTGATAAACATATTTTACTGCAACAACAATTTGTAGTAAATGTTGTGTACCTTTAAAATACTCCAACACTGACATATCTGCAGATTTCTGACACATTATTAGCTGTTATCAATCATATCATATACGTTTGGGTCATGAAACATTGTGCACACAAAGAGGGACGATGCCAAGTATAACATACTGTAAAATGAATGCTTAAAAAACAAGACAAATCAGCAGCATTGATAATAAATGTTGTTTATATACACTCTTAAAGGGCTGCTCTGTGCTCTCAGGGGGTTCAGCTGATACTGGATCTGTGGCATGAATAAAACAGTGATGATTAGTCCGCCTCGCCCCCCCACTGTCTGCTGCTCTTAACCTCCAGTAAAGAACCCAATGACACTAAACTGTACACACCTGCCTGCAGACTGCGGTCTAACAAACTCAATACCCGCTGCACTGGAGGCCCAACATCAACATTTACATATCTCCATCTTCATTATCATTATACAAGTTTAGTTGACTGATATCAGATGATCACATGATTAAGACTCTAAAACGTGAAAAAAAGCTAGTAAATTGCCCGTCAGTTAACACTTTGTCTTCATCAAACTACCGTTCCTGTGATTTTAGGCTCGATTAGTACCTTAGTGATGTTACTGTGGTTATTGACTTACTTAACTGATCTTAAAGAGGTACACATTTTACCTGATGGACTTTTATGAATACAAATCCAAGTCAAGTGTTTTTTTAGAGTGTGACAACCTCACATTATTCAATTGTAATCATTATTTTAAGGCTTTGTTTTTAAGATCAGAGAGTGGAGGACACACAGAGGAATAATGAGAGAAGCTGTGTTAACGGTCATCGCAGCAGCTCATCGGACCAACAAATACACACATCACACCAATATTTTCTACTTTTCTTCTTCCATTTCTTATCCAACTGTCCCCACTTTTACACAGAAAACAGACGAAGCCTGCCCCGAACCCCCCCCCCCCCCCCCCAAATACATGAAATATTTACACTTATATCTTACAGGCGATTCAAGCAGTTTGTGAGCCCTCAGATCAGTATACAGTTAAAGCACACACACACACTGGCAATCATACAGCCCTGTACACACACACACACACGCACGCACGCACACACACACACACACACACACACACACTGAGCTGTTTTAAAGGATGATCCGAGGCTCGAACATGCTCGAACATGCAAAGGAAGAGAGGTTTTGGTGGGTCTTTACATCCGTAGAACAGCAGGAAGTGACGTTTTAAAGAGTTTCTGAAGTTCATTAGGTCATTTAGTTTCTTGTCCTGTAGTTTATCGCCTCCTTTTTAACGTATCCTTACATGTAATTTAGTTTATCACCCCTCAGGTGTGTCCCAGAAGTCTTTTAAAGGATCACTGGCCAACATTTTATAGAGAAAAAGAAGAAAGAAGAAGTGGAGGAATTGAATAAATAACAATAAAATAAATCCTCTCCACTAAAGCTTTACTGCGCCGTCATCGGTGTGGCAGTGTGACACGCCGCCAAGGAGACATTAGAAGAAGAGGAAGTGATGGATTTTGGAGTCTGGCACCTGCAAAAAACAAGAAAGAAGAAGTAGAAATTAAAAATGTAAATGTATGATGTATATATATGCCTTTTCCTATAGTCTAGACACAGGTTAATTACCATTATTAAGCAACATTGAGATTACAGGCTGCAGAGTTAATGAGAGATAAACCATGAGATTAGGACCACCCACAGAGGGAGCAGCTGATCCTCAATAATCCCATTTAGAGATGCATTGACTCTAAACCCATTGCACTAGTCAGATACAGGCCAGTAAAAGCACGTTTTGCACATATATATTTCTTTAAATCTATACTATAAATCATAATGGTTGATTTTCATAATAAATAGATTGAATATATCAAAACAAATATTGGTTTTAAGGTGAAAAACATCATATTTAATCAGTTGTATACAACAGACTGATGCCAGGACAAAGTCAATTTCATTGAACAAAAAATGCTGACGGTATACTGGCAGATTTTCATCTAGTTACATAACCACAATGATGGGAAATCATATTTTTATATTATTGTGATCATGAAATGTAAGGTGCGGGACATTTTACAGTTAAACAATTAAGTCAGAATATTAATTCATCCTTTATTTTAACTAAATAATTAGTAGAAAAACTATTCAAGAATAAATTCCTACGCACCAAGAAACACAATTAACAGACGCTTATGAAAATGTGGGGTATGCATATATGGGTGTATGTGTATATGTGTGTATGTATGTGTACGTACATGTTTGTATATATATATGTATGTATATGTTTATGTATGTGTACGTACATGTTTGTATATATATATATAAATGTGTGTGTGTAAGTAGATGCATGTGTACATTTGTCATTTCAAACAACCCCTATATACTTTTCGTTTTTATTTTATTTCACCAATTTCGTTCAGTATTTAATTTGTCATTTTCGGGTCTCTAGAAATATATGATATGCAAAACTGTATTTTAATAAAAATGTGACCCCAAATAAATAAAGAATAAAAAAAGAAAATGTGAGGTAAGGCGATATTAGATGATGTAATGCTAATATCAGGTTCAGGCTCACCAGGAGCGGGACTTGCGGACGCCGCCCTCCTTGGTGGGCGATCCGTCCAGAGAGGGGCTTTGGTTCGGCTCAGAGTCTGTGGATCGGTCCAGAGAGGCGGTGTTCGGAGGAGTCATGTCCAGCTCCAGAAACATGATGTTCTCAGCCTGAAAACACATGTTCATTTGTTAATTCATAATGTCTCTATCACATCAAACACAAGCCTGTAATTCTCTTTTTTTAGGGACTATCACATACTGCATACTGTGGTGCCAGATTTAACTTCTAATCCCTTCTGTTTAGTTTAAATATTTCAAGTTGAATTAGATTTTTTATATTATTATTTCTTTCTGCTCAATGCTTATAACCTATCATTCTTTGTTCATAGTTTTTAACAGAGATTAAAAACCCTGTATAATAATCATTATCACCTAATTAACAAAACCTGTTATATTATAGTGTAAATGTGTTATGATAATGTAAAAAACATATTCTTAGTCATTGTGAAAAAAGTACTTCAAGGTCATTATGCACCTTGTGGTTTAAAAAGTGAATGAATGAAAGGGATATTCCACTTTAAAAATCCCCTACTTTTGAGGTAAATTAATATAATTTTTAAAGAATAGCAAACATTCAGGGGTTGTTATTTCCATAATCGGAAGGTCGATATTTAGTAAAGTTTTCCTTTTTATTAATTTCATCAACACAACAACAGTGTTAGGTCGTCTCTTCTAGTACTCCTGATCAGAAATATCCATAATACACTACAGAACAACACACACACACACACACACACACACACACACACACACTCACACACACACACACACTCACACACACACACACACACACACACACACACACACACACACACACACACACACACACACACACACACACACCATGTATACATCACTTCAGGGGACATGACATTGACTTACATGCGTTTCCTGGAGACTTATCCTAACCTTAACCATAACCAACACATGCCTAACCCTAACCAAGTCTTCACCCTAAAAGTAATGATTCCCCTCACGTGACTGTGTATACAGATGTAGGTCCCCACAAGGATGGTAATGCTAGGCCACACACACACACACAGACAGACAGACAGACAGACAGACAGACAGACAGACAGACAGACAGACAGACAGACAGACAGACAGACAGACAGACAGACAGACAGACAGACAGACACACACACACACACACACACACACACACACACACTTACCCTGTATCTGGAGTGAGGTCCCATCGCTATGGCAACCCTGGCGTACTGGCTGATTGGTCGTTTGTATCCGACTGCAGATGCCGGCCTCTTCTTCATCTGCAAGGATTTACTGAATAGAAGAAGAAGAGACGGGAAGCGATCAATGAGAAATCAATGTTGCAAGAGGCCAAAATGCATCTTCAAGAAGCTCCTCTTCAAAAGAAAAGCATCTCTCTTTCTCTCCAGTTGTGAATTTAACAACATCGACAGTTAACAAGTCTGTTTCTAATGCAATAGCTTTGGGGGATGACCGGAAAGGAACCACAGAAGAAGAGCGAGTGATACAGGAAGTGCATTAATAAGTAAAAGTAAAAGTTGCATTAATAAATTGTACAAAATGTGTCTTTTCTTATGGATATTTCTGATCTTTAGAAAGAGCAGGAGTACTAGACGGGACTACCTAACATCTGAAATTTGTGTGAGTGACAATGTGCGTGCCTTCTATGATGATGCACTCTCTCAGTCACAGGTGAATGAGGTTGACTGTGACAGTAGCTGCCCATTGTGCCAGCCTTTTGAGAGTGACCATTCCACTCTTAATGAACGATAAGTTGTTGAATGTTTTTACACAGAAATATTGTTATATTAATTCAATGGATTTATAGTATGTAGTCAACTACATGAATGTAACATGGCAAAGATGAATGTAAGAGGAATGTGATGTTGGAATGTCTGTGGTCTAATGTGATATTGTTGTTCATGTTTTGTTCATGATGGCATTTTCCTCACATGTAATGTTTTATTGTTGTAATGAATGTGTAGCATTAACAAGATGACCCGTTAAATACATTTTGGGGGCGATGACTGATGTATTTTTGGTACAGTGCCCATATATAAGATTAGTATTGACCAAGTTCAGAGGTTTTCATATGTAGGTCAACTTACTTACTGTTATGTATGTTTGCACAGTTTCAATATGAAAAATAACTTTTATATTGATGCAATGGATTTATTGCATTTTGGGGAAAAAATTATCCGTTTTTTAAATAAATCTTTGAAAATCGAAATCTGGATTTGAATTTGTATTGTTATTATAACCTCAATATGCTATGTGAAAGTTTGAAACAGAAAATAGTGGTTTTCACTTGCCACTTTTCTTGGTAAAGAAAACACATTTTTACTCAAATTAATCAAAATGGATTTATAGCGTTTTGGAACCAAACTGTCCGTTGGTGTTCGGATCAGGTTCAAACCCCACTGCAGTCAGCATGTCGTTGTCTCCCTAAGACACTTCCCCCCAAATTGCTCCCGTGGGGATTGTCCACAGTATTGAGTATGTAAGTCACTTTGGATAAAAGCGTCTAACAAGTGACATGTAATATATATATAAGCATTTCGTTTTACAACAACTGACATAAAACCCAATTTCCCCGGGATAAAAGTATTTCTGATCTGATTTCAAAATGTACTTCATAAAATGTCACCACTGGACATAGAGGGCAAGCAGGTCAAAAGGTTGTGACCCCTGACTGAAATGAAACACATTTCTGAGTTCATTCTTTCCACCTGATGGCCCAGATGGGAGTAACATCCCGACTCTCTGACCTTTCTGCGGGAACCAGAGGCTGAAACTTCCACTGGTCCTCCTCGGTGTCGAAGTTCAGTCGGCTCATGATCTTATTCTTCTCCTCCGGAGGGATGAAGTTCTCGATGATCAGATACCTACAGAGGGTTAGTTTGATGAAAAAAAGGCTTATCGTTAAGTCTGAAGTTCTGCAGACTGTCTGAATTGTGCACTTTTACAAACATTACTAGAGAAAAAGGCTCCAATTTAAGATTATTTTCATTATTGATTCAAATGAAAATCATTTGGTTTTAAAAAGGTAAGAAAATGTCAATCCAAGTTCAGCTCCAAACTCAAATGGCCATGTATAAGATTTAAATATAACTGTATTAAATCATTAATTATCAAAAGAGTTTCAATATAAATAATAATCTATGTTGGGGAATAATTTGTTTAGGTATTCGACCTTTGACACAGTTCATAATTTTCTCCTCTCACTGTCTCTTTCCCACGGCCTTGGGTATTTCTGCTATCTCTCTTAAGGAGGAGCAGCTTGGGCTCATTGTTGATGCCAGCTTATGACCGAGCACAATCCGCCATGAGATAGTTTACTGTTCAGGGACATCTGGATGCCCTTCTTTTTAGGAACGTAGGTTCCCTGGCGCACATTATTTTCTATGGACGACAGCAGTTAGATTCAGGGTCCATATTGTTTCGTCTCGCTGATAAAGAATGTTGATTATTACACTCTGAACTAGTTAAAACCTCGAACTACGGAAGAGTACTTCAGAATTGATTGTGGCATCTCAACCCTGTGGTCAACTCGTGGCTCGTGACATGTCTTGTGAATTCTCCGGCCGAAGCTCCAAATAAACCGTCAGTGTTTGCCATCAAAGCTCCAGCTCTCCTCGTGTCTCTCTGAGTCCTGACTCCAATTGCTTCAGAAGTTTCCCCACAATCTATATATATTTTTTACTTTCGCCGGATAATCAATTAGATGTCTAATCATTGCAGCTCTACAAGACAATCTACAGATGAAATGTGATGCAAAAATGTTTTTCAAAAAAGGAGTTGTTGCACAATTTCATATTGAAATGACAATATTTTGTTCCCACTTTTAGCCATCAACATCATGTTACACTAGCACAAATCTGTATGACCTTCCTTTAAAGGGGATCTATGATGCAAAATGCACTTTTTGATGTCTTTTATACATAAATGTGTCCCCGGTGTGTCAGGGAACTCACGCAGCGTCAGAAAATAAAACCCTCTCTCTTTTCCTCCATACCCAAATCACTAAAAACGGGGCTACAACGGAGCTGATCCAGATTTGCATCCGATATGACGTAATATCTGAAATGTGGACCCACGGCCCAATCAGAAACGTTGCTATCAGAAACAATGCCCGACTGTTTTGGACGTAATATGGTCGGTGTTCACATTAGCATCGCTAACACTCAGAGCTAACCTGTACTGGAGAGCATGTGTGTGAAGAAGCAGGAAATAGAAAGGAACTCACCTTGTGGTATAACCGGCAAGAGAGAAAGCCTTTGAGCTCCAAACTGAGAGAATCCTTGATAATCCATGATATGGCGTTTCATCACCGCAGAATCTGCCGGTAGAATCTCCCGCATGAGCTCAGACCCCTCCTTTTATTTTTTTTATTTTCTTAAAGCTTTATCCCCCAAATCAGCACTTTTGAAACAGGAAGTGAAATAGAGGGATGTGAGGCATGGCTAGAATGGGTGATCTGTTTGGTATTTGGAGCAAAACACTTTAGACATGTTTTTTATATATTTGTATATATCTGAGACCTATGCTATTGCCTGATGATAGGTGACCTTTAAATCAGATAAAATATCCATATTTTTCACAGTAACTTGTCATATTTTTATTGTATTTTTCTACATTATATTCATTTTCCTTTTATAAAAAAAAAATATAATTTCATAGTATAATTTTGTATAGATAGACATATAGATTACTTTTCTTTTTTTAAGTATTATTTTTATACTTATTTGTATTCTCATACTATGTTTATTTGTTATCCATGGTTTGTGTACTTGGCAATACATCAGATTCTGTGTTTGCAGTATGTCATCTCTATGAAACATGCACATTTCGGACGTGTTTGCAGAACCATGCCGGCATATTTGCTGACTCTGCTGACTCTGTGCTGTTTGTGTTTCAGACTCACTTGAACTTGAGCTCTCTGGTGAGCTCGTTCTGGGTTTGCTCCAGCTCCTGCCGGCTCCTCACGTGCTCGTCGTTCACGTCCTGGATCTCCGCTTTAATGCACTGAAGCTTGGCATACAGCTATGAGAAAGGAAGGGGAAAGAAAGAGGGTGAGGAGGAGGGGGAGAGATGTCGCTGAGGAACTGTAGCTTGGTTGCCTGTAGCAACAGCACTGGAGGCACTGGTGTCTGGAGAGATGGGCAGCCAATGGGAGCGAGGCAACATGGCCGCCCTCCATCTCTCCTCCTCCTCTTTCCTCCTCTGTTCATGCTTTGAGTGAACAGGCTTTGAACAAGTAGGCTAATCCTGAGTGTAGTTAGTTAGCTGAGAGATGACTCTGCAAGTGTTCATCTCTGAGGAGAATCTGATCTGTGAGAAGCAGCTGGTAGTTAACTTGGGTTGTGACAGCTTCATTTTTTAGAAAAGAAAACACTTAAGAATTGCATTTAATATTAAAATCATTTTTGAGATTTTGAAAAGTATTAAAATGTGGACCATGCAAACAATTCCAGTGCACAAGGACATGATGCTTGAAACTCAAGAGGTACGTCTCGGATGGATTACAAGGTGTTTTGTTGATTATTTCCTTGCATTCACATTCTACCTCTTGTTTCTGAGAAACTGTCCAAGCATTACATGTGAGATGGTGATTCGCAGTCTTTTATATAAAAGATTCATGGAACTAAAGCTTGAATTAAACGTAACACAAAGGCTTACTTAGCCACAGGCCCGTTAGAGATACTGACGGCAGGTAAATAAACACTGCAAAACTAGACAGAAGTATCGTTTTATGCATTAAAGGTGGGGGAGGTAATTTTGGAGAAACCAGCTCGAGTGCACTAGAATTTGAAAATACACAGCCGGAACAAATCTGCAACTCCTTCCTTACAGAGCCCCTCCTCCAACACACACAAACGCGCACATGACCAATGAGGGCACGAGATAAGTTTGTGCACAGATGGAAGGCTGACAGGCAGGTAGGCCATCCAGTTACTTTAGCCACGGCTAAAATGATTGGTCGTGCTTTTTACAGCGCCACGGCTTCCACAGATGACATTTTATATGGATTTTTTGTCAAAGCACTTAAGATATTCATTGCTATCGGGATGTTAAGAGCATTCCATGGAATATAACAATAAGTGTATCTCGAGCCGGTTTCTCAAACTTACCTACCCCACATTTAAGTGAGTTTATATTATTTCGTTTACTTTGTAAAATAGAGCACTGATAGGGAAGTTCAGTCTGTTTCATGACTGCATTTCCTTTCCTTAAAACCTCACCAGAACAAGAAATCTACTGAAGTCAGAGGAGCGATATGATTAAATTGAAGCTAATTTTACAACTGCTGTCTGCAGCACTCTCATACAAAAATGGAACAACTAAACACATGGTTGTCCTCAATAGTGACTTAGATGTAAAAACAGAGAAATAATTGGATTTAGGTTAAAACATACCAAAAGTACCCTTTAAAAAAGTTCTTTCTGACAATTATGAACCACTCTGTTGTAATTTAGCAGTAAAAAGAGCCGTCTGAGCTCTTAAATTACAGCGTGATTAATCTTAATCCTCAGAGAGACGACACCATGCTCAGGAGAAGGTAACGTCAGGGCATCAGGAGAGCAAGGATCATCACAGGGTCATTAATCACATTGGCATCCACACACACACACACACTTGGGGTTAGTCCTGCTGGCCGTGCAACGGAGTAGGAAGCAAGAAGGGGAGGGTTTGTTGTTTCATGGATGGCACTGAGGCAGGTCCTGAGCAACTTGACAAAAACGGATTGAGAAGGTTAGCATGAGAGGTGTGAAGAGGCCCGAGATAGAGCGTTACGGAGGGGGGGGGGGGGAGGTCCGGCAGAGAGGAGGGGACGGCAGGACAAACCTTCAGGTACTATTTAAGTGTGTGTCCGAACGCAGGCAGGAGGTCATTAGGATCCAGGTCAGGGGTCAAATAGGGGTGAAGAGGGATATACGGACATTAGGAACAAAGAGAAAGGTGTGTGCATGTAAGACAGATATCTGGATGTCTTCTGGCTGTGAAAGTGTGTATTTGCAGCTTAAATTAGAATGTATGTGCAATTGTGTATACTTTTATAAATTGTATAAGCATGCAGTGTCTGCGCACCTTCTTGAGCTTCTTGGTCTTGGCCTCCACCTCCTGCTGCAGAGAGGTGAACGTCTCTCTGAGCTCCACCGTCTCCTCGTCCTGCACCAACATCTGCTGCTGGATCTCCCTCTCACTGCTCGACTGGAAACATCAATTAACACGTTACATTTCTGTTAGCATTATTTTTTTCCCTTGCATTACACAGGTTAAACCTTTCTTTAAAGTAGTGCTGTTGAAAACTGTGAGTGAACTCTGTGGGACTGATACAGGTATTCTGGTTCTGATGTGTTTGTGCTTTATAAACACACTCAGGTTTACCTGCTCAGCAATCTCATGCCTCTTCATCTCCAGCATCTTCTGCTGCTCGTTGGTGTGATCCATGATGTTCTTCCCACCGACAAGCAGCTTGCTCTCCATTGCCTGAGGAAAACAAAATAATATTTGTAGTTTTAGGAACAAATACCTTATGTGGTCCTTTTAGCTTCAAAGAAAAGGGTTGAGTGTTGTTCTTGAGGTCAAACTAAGTTCATTTGGACATCAACAGTTGAGTCCTTGTGGGGGTTGTGTGTGTGTGTGTGTGGTGTGTGTGTGTGTGTGTGTGTGTGTGTGTGTGTGTGTGTGTGTGTGTGTGTGTGTGTGTGTGTGTGTGTGTGTGTGTGTGTGTGTGTGTGTGTGTTGTGTGTGTGTGTGTGTATTGTGCTGATGAGGCAGACAGAGCTGGAAGTGGGCAGCTTAACATTCATGATGACACCATGACACAACAAGCTGAGCTCGGCTAAAACGTAGTCACGCTTCAAACGTGAATCACAACCAGACTGAAATATCACAACAACTACTTGATGGATTGATGGATGA